TTTTTAAATATTTTAAACGAAAATAACATCTGTCGATATCACTAAGACCTAGTTGTAATGACCTAAATATATATAGTCTATATATAATAATTTTATTTGTTCTAATAATTTTTAAAATTTTTCTTTTAAAAAAATAAATAAATTACTTCTTTATATAAAAATTAAAATCGTTTCATTGATTTTTCATTTTATTTTTTAACTTTTTTCAAGAGAGAGGTTGATTTCAGGTTTGAGGTCAAGCGTACATCGACTCAAAAATTATTTTAAAAATTATAATTTTATTTTTTAAAACTACTAATAAATTATTTTAAGATCTATTTTATATTTTTAAATATATACAAATACAGTCGAACCTGCGAACAACGGCCAACTGACGAATGGAAGTTGTTCGGAGGTGGCATGATTGTAGGTTCAATTGTGTAAAGTTTATATATAGAAAAACCTGTGTAAGCCGGAATCACGTGGTACCGAAGATTTTTTCCGTTTTGAACAGGTTCTTTTTAACGTAGAAAATCGCTTCGTTCTTAAGAATTTTTCCCGTTTAAGCAGGTTTCCTTTTTATTCAGGTTTTAATGTAATTGAAAGCGTAGAGGAAAGATTTTAACGTTATATACACACTAATTTTATATATCTTTTATCTTATCCGTCTGTTTGTCTGTACTAATTTTGCTTTCAATCTAAAATCTGTGAGAGTTATTTTCTTATACGGGAGGGGATTTAAAAGTCTGCAAAGCTTTATTATGCAATACTTAGTGGCAAAATACGTTATATGCGGGTGACATTTAACTGAATGCGAATATAAATATAAATACTTTTCTCCCAATCGTGTCAAATTCGTGTTAAAATGTCTGATGTGATGTGTACGCACGCGTCACAAACGTGTCCCTTTGACCGTTGTTCGCAGGTTATTTCGTAAGCCTTTCAAAATCGATGCTATTTAGAGGTGTCCGTCGTTGAAGGTTCGACTATAAATACGTGTGTTTTTCTTTTAATTTAATTAATAAATTAAGATTTATGGAAAATTTGTAGTTTAAAATGGGGGTGGCCCAAAAATCAGTTAACCATTACTTATTTAAATATTTAATTATGTATTTTATAGAGTACTTAGCATATGGTTCATTCATACGGTTAACCGACTTTTGAACCTCCCCGTATTTTAATTATACTAATGCACATGTGTGTGTACTTTTATATTCTAAATAACACATTTAAAAAATTCGCTATTTAAATAATGACTTTTATAAAATAAATAAATATAAATCTTCATCTTCTATGTTTAATTTTTAAATACTTCTCTACATAAAAAAAGATATATATGTAAAGAAAGAAAATGCAACAAGTTCGTATTGTCTAGTTTTGTTAAATGACAACAGCATTGTTAACAATGTCAAACTCAACATATATTGTTAACAGCTTGACGTAAAGGTTATTTAAACAGCATATTAATGCGTTGAATTTTAATGCATTTTTTCGTGTTTTCCATGGTTTTTAACACATTTGTTTTATACTTTAATTAGATTTTAATGCTTTTTCTTTACATTTTATAAAAATTATAATTATTTTATATATTTTACATAGATTTTTTATGTCTTTCTGTGTATTTCGCATAGATCTTAATGCACTTCTCTGTACTTTGCATAGATCTTAATGCACTTCTCTCTACTTTGCATAGATCTTAATGCACTTCTCTCTGCTTTGCGTAAATTTTAATACATTTTTTTCTTCCTTACATAAATTTATAATACATTTCCTTCTTCCTTACACAAATTTTAAAATGCATTATACTTTACATACATTTTAACGTTCTTCTTTACACTTAACATAAATTTTAAGTCTACTTTCCTTACATTTTTAAATCATAAGCTTATTTTATCTTTAAGAAAAATAAATAAATTTTACAAGCTGAATAGTAAAACTTTATAAAATAGATTTCCTCTCCTAACAAGTTTCGTAACGTTATACATCTAATCATGATTTATTGTGTAAAGGTAACATGTTGTTCTGTCCTGTTCTAAATCGATGAACCTGTTAGTTATCAGATACTATTATTTATTCATTCATTAAATACGTGTACTTTTAAAGTCATATATTTTTTCTTTTTTTTTATCTCCTATTTCAAGCATCGTTCCTAAAGAATTGAAAGGCTTCCTTTGGTTTCAGTTTATGATCCGTGAAACAAAACAGATCTAAAATTTGATAAAACTTCACATTATAAACTTAAAACTTTATGTTTTTTTTAAGGTTATAAGTTTAACTATGTGTCTAGATTGTGTTAAGTCTGTAAATTTGTCGGGAGGAGTGTTTATTTATCACTTTTCTGGACACGTCACGGACGCGTCGCGTCGCGTAGCGCCTTTTGCGACTTTATTTCGACTCGAAATCAATTTTAAAACAATAATTCTCGTGTAAAATAGCATAATTGTTAAGTTAAATTGCATCTGTGGTAAAATTTTCAAGTATTTTTCAAAGGATCTAGTAAATTTCCTTTTGAAATGTATTGTAAATCGCTTCGACGCGAGCGACGCGACGTCACCGCGCCGAAGAGAATATTAACTCAAAGAATAATAATAAACAAATATTATTTACATTTCCTAAAACACGTTATTTATATTTTTATAATATTTATACTTATTATTTCTTAAAATATTAATTTAAATTTACATTTTCATTTTAAAAATATTAAAAATAATATAAACTTAAATAACACGCGCCGCGACGCGACGTGAAAGCAATTTACGACAAATGAGACGTGAAAAACGGTCATAATAATTAAAAATCTTTAAAAAGTTTACTTTATAAACGAAAATAAATAAATATATTTTATAATTTCTTATTTTTTACGCGTAATTTTTGCAATTTCAATTTAATTGCTCGCTATAAAATCATTGAATGAAACAATAACCTCTAGCATAAATAAATAAATAAATAAATTGTTTGCGTGATTATTAACTGATTTTGATCAAATTTTTTTATCTTTGTCATCTTTATTCTTTCTATTTATAGTTCATACCGGTTTAAATATTCTTTAATAAATATTAATCAATAAAAAAAATAATTAGCAAACACCTTCATAAATCTAACCTTAAATACCGTTTAGAATTAAGTCCTTATATATAAGGACTTAATTCTAAACGATATTTAAGGTTATATTTATGAAAATATTTCTTAATTATATTTTATATTAATTTTAAACAAATATTCTAAACATTTTTTATCAGTATTCCCCATCCTCTCTGGTTTGGTTACATGGAAAAAGTCAAGGCAACAATTGGGCAATCTGCCAATAGACTAGCCTCCGGGGAACTTTCTATGGGAAATTGGCCCCTATTTAGATGTTAAACACGTGGAGAAAACCCAAAAAACTCCACGTGGCCAGCACGTTCGTAGGATGAGAAACCGCGATCAACTTCCGGTGTTGTGTAATGTTTTTCACTTTTTTACTGAGAATCATAAATTTTATTTATTTATATTAGAATAATAAAGATAAAATATTAATATTTTTAATAATTTATAAAATTATTTTTTTTTTTAATTTTACTATTTTATTCGCGATAAAAACAGTATTTACTTACTTATTATTTCTGGAGAAAACCTGTCTAAAATGGAACCTGAATAAAGCGGAAACCGGCCTAAACGTCGAAATTCTTATTAACTGAACGATCTTTCTATGTTTAAAAAAACAACCTGTTCAAAACGGAAACCTGCCAAGCCGGACAAAAATATATTCGGTACTACGCGAGTCCGGCTTATACAGGTTTTTACCGTATATTAAATAATTATTTTATTAAGATATTTATTAAATCAACGTTAAAAATGAATTTATTTTTAATGGAAACGACGTGGCCATTTCCCTTTAAACAAATGGAGCAGTTAATTGTTCTATTTTCAAGGTTCAAACACACGCGGACAATATAGAACATTGACTTTTACATCATTTCTTTATCCAAAAAAATCCAGAAAAAATCTAAAAAAGTCAGTACAAATTCTTTAAAATTCCAAAAAAAAAAGTAATTGAAATCCTATAAGAATGAAAATCGTTTAGGAGGTCTTAAGACATTAGAAGTCATTGTAAATACAGTCGACCCCCGTATAACACTGTTCATTTTTCCATTTTATATGAATTCCATGATGTACAAGTCACTTAGATTTTACAAATACGTGAGCCGTTCACAGCCCAGCACACGTATTTGTAAAATCTAAGTGACTCGTACAACATGAAATTCGTATAAAACGGAAAAATCAACAGTGTTATAGGGGGTCGACTGTACCTCTTATTATTATTTTTTAATATTTAAATTATATTATGTAATGTTATTATATATAAAATTTCAAATACAAACTTTATAAAAAAGACAAGAATTTACATCATAAAATTTTGTAAAGTACGAAAATTCATGCAAAATATCCAAGTACAAAGCATCAAATTTATAAAAACATTTTACGAATTTTTTTTTATTTCGAGTAATAAGGATACGAAATTCTTCCATTCTTTTCCATATTCTCGAAATATCCAAGGGTAATATATATATATAAATAAAAAAAAAAAAAATTCCCATCAATCGCACAATAACCTTATTATTAATAATGTGACTTATAAAAGAATTTTTTTGTATGGAAAGACATTAAAAAAACCAGTCTTGTTAGTGATTATCTCATTGTATTTTGCATGTTCCCTTATATTCATTCCCTAAATCGTGTAATTATCTTGCAAGTAGATATATGGGTTGAAGAAATACGGTAGCAACATAACACCCTTCGGGATATTCCGGGTTTGGTTTTATGACCCGATAGAATTTCGTTGATATTATTTAGGACCATCAAACTTAACTATTACTATTCATCTTCCAAAATTGATTTTCGGCCTTCTGAATATAAATTTTTGCTAAAATGGGTCCCTCTAAATTAAGAAATTCGTTAAAAATTAGTATATAGAAGGAACCATATAAAGAGGGTCTTTAAATGCATAAAAATTTGCACAATTTTAATGCAGAAAAAAAAGAAAAATGCAAGTCTTATAAAAGAACCATTCAAATGCATAAAAATTAACATAATTTTAAATTAAGCTACATAAAAAACTAAATTTATAATTTATTTATCCTTCTTACTTACATCTTAAGAGTGAAATAAAAGTTAAATTTTATCATATAAAAATTTAATTAAATTTTTTTTTTATTAAGGTGTACAATGAAGTTATATTTATCTTTGACTATTTTAGATCTGCCTTGTAAAAAAATCTACAGATATAATGGGTCCTATATTCGTGTGTTTGCATACGAATCGCACGAGGTCACGCATTTATAAAGAATACATTCCGGATCTTGATATCTCCACCCACCGTAAACAGTTCTTTTAGGTGTCAACATTTTATAAAAATTCAATTATTTAAATTATTTTTCACATAATTTATTTGAAAATTAATCATAAAACTTCTTATTTATTTTTTTTTATTATCAGGAAAATTACATTGTCTTAACAAACGAGTAATTTAGAAATATTTGTATAAACACATCAGGTTTATGCCACTTACAAACGTACAATAAAGTAATCTTCCGGGTCAGTAGTAACAGTAAACGACTTTCTAAATATTTAAATCTTGATTTAAGTCGATTTGTTTTGTTTTGTTCCCTTTTTTCCCCCTTTGTTTTCGCTGAATTTTTGAAGAAATTGAACAATTTTTACGGTGAAAATGCAGTTGTTTTGAACGAAAAATGTACCGTTTTTCACGTTAAAATTGTGAATTTTTTATATATAAAATATCTTCCTTAGCAGAATAATTCTTTAAACTATATGTATATCTGTCTGTCTGTTTCCTTTACATTTCTAAACATCAAATTTTTTGCAGTTACTTTCTAGATTTCTAAGATAAATATAGGCTAAAATCCGAATACCTCCGATTACAGTGGTTGTTTTAATGATTAAAACTAAAAAATTTATTCATTATATATTGAGAATATTTACTGAAAAAGCCTTTTTTTACAGAGAAAATTTTAAATAACGATAAAACTTTCGAAAAATCACTAAGTAATGAAGAAAATTTGGAAGATTATTGAAAAATCTTACAGTCTTACTATTATTTAGTGGTTTCTTTTAGATAAAAACTGTAAAATTTTTCCATTATCTTTCAAATTTTCTTCATTACTTAGTGACTTTTTTGACACTTTTACCATTAAATAATGAAGAAAAATAATGGAAAACCCACGTTGATAAATATGTAAAACCTTGCTAAATAATAGAAAATATTTCAACAATTGTTAAGGCTAGGACATAACTTATATGATTGTTAATCTTACTCCTTGTACAATAAAAAATTCCAGATAAATCTATAGAATATTAACAGAATTTCAGGCAGGATTATAACAAAATATACTCGAGAATTATTTAGAAAATAATTGCTTGTACAAATAAAAAAAAACAAAACTATAATGAAAAAAAAAATTCGAGTGGTTCATAAAGAATCTTTTCACTAGATATTTATTTACTTAAGCAATTATCACTTGTAATAGGTTTGTAGGGTACTAGTATAGGGACTCTTTAAGTAGAAAGAAAGACATAGCCCGAAGGTTAACGTGGGTAGGGGCCAAAATTTGATTAATAATTAATGCGTTTGCTCTTACCTAGTCCGGTTCAATGGCAGGAAGCTAGATTAAAATGCTCCAGGCTAGAAGATGCAGTGCTGACCCAGGTTGCTGGGATGTCCTATAATGGTGTGTGGTACAAGGTAAAGGAATATACACGGATCTGCCTCCCTACACTCCCTCCCTTAATATCGTTTGTGACGTACACACCTACTTAAAATACATATACACATCGATGATCTATACGTATCAATATTTAATATTTAAATTAATATATCTTACGTTAATACACAAGAAAACTTGAATTTTATTTAATAAAATCATACTAAAAACTGTAAATTTGCATGTAAAAAGACGAATTTTTACGTAAATCTTCCTATAAAGTGATGAAGTAGATGTAAAAGGCAACAAGTCAGACCGCATGTCGCCAATTTAAAAGCTTCCTCGTACGAAGGGTGAGGTCTTTTATCTTCGTCTTTTATTTATTTATTTTTTTATGGATTTTATCGAAGAAAAATCTTTAAAAACTCTTTTAAATAAAATTCTTTTTAACTTTTTTTACACGCAATAATTCTTTCTTCCCTAATGATACACTTAACTAGTTCCGTTCTGGACTATTGGAAGTAGGGAATATAGTGCATTTACCGTGTTTTTTTCGGTAAAAAATCCGGATATTTACACACCTAACAGCATCTTTTATATGGATGTAACCGTATAATATGCTGCATAATTAAATTTACGTGATAAACAGTATAAGAAAGCAACGTAAAATCCCTTTTCTGTATCAGAGGTGTGACTAATCCTGCCTTAAAAACTGAGTTTTTTAAGGCGAATTTCTGCTAAAATTTTATAAAATATTTAATTAAAACGTCTTAAAATAAAATTTTTATAACTTAAAAGACATTTAAAATAAGTTTTACATGAAAAAATTGATTTTTTAAGGGTATAGATTAACTGCAATGTAATTTACTTACAGCGTGAGTGACGTGACGTGGGTATTGATACGAAAAAATAAATGATAAATGCTAGACCATCGACATGGGGAGTCGCAACGCCACACTAAACACAGCGGGTATAAATTTCTTAAGAACAAATTTTAAAATACCTCTCACGGTTCCCCTATAATCATTCTTTTAACAGGCGCGTCACATCGCGTCGCTTGGCGTCGCGTTTACAAATACACCGTCTTGAGATAATATAATAGCAATGTATCACTATATTATCAAGAAAAATGTATATTTTGCATAGATCTTAATGCACTTCTCTCTACTTTGCATAGTTCTTAATGCACTTCTCTCTACNTTATCTAAACAAAATTTAATTTACTTATATTACTTTCGTTTTTTTATATAAAGACTAAATTTTATTTACTTTGTATCAATAAAATTAGATATTATTATATTTACTTGTATACAATGCGTTCTCTTGTGTTTCGGTTACCTTTTTTTTGAGCCACTGTTTATTAATATATACGGTTAATTAACTTTTTTTAAATTTTCTTAATAAACTTCTTTAATAAGGGATTGATTTATTATAGGATAGAATTACAGAATTAGTAATAATATCTAAATATATTTTGTTGCTTTAAATATTTATAATTTTTAATTAGCTAATGAATATATTATAATATATCGTGACAATGGAGCGTTATAACTTCACGGGGCCCAAGAAAATTTGAATTAGGGGGTCCCCGTGTACGGTGTTGACTTTAGACATTTTTCTTCCGGGAAATTTTTGGGGGAATCTCCTGGCATTCTCTTAGATTCAACATTAGGCATGCAAAAAAAAATTCGCAATTACAACGAAAATTTAAAGAGAAATTACAAGACAGATTACAAGAACGAATAAACGAAATGTATTATATCTTCACTCTTCGTGCTTTTTGAGCTGAGAAATTGTCAATCTTTATCGTAATCGACCCCGTTTGAAATGTCATTCTCGATGTATAATATTGCCAAATTACTAAATTTTTTCGTCTAATTGAATTTCAAATATAATTTTTAATTTAAATCGCTTTTTATAATTGCAAAACTTCCTTAAAGGGTGGCTCAAAAGTCAGTTGACACTACCTTAAAAACCAGACATAAAGGCTGTCCCAAAACTCGGTTAACCACTGTATGTACTAAACTATCGTCTTATTCACACAATCTACTAATAAACTTTATATTATTCATACAACTTTACTGGAGCGAGTCGCGCGCGGTTAACCGACTTTCGAACCGCCCGATACGTACAGTACAGTACTTAAACTATTTCCTTATGAATAAAACTAAATTATTAAATTATTAAAGCACGTAAGAAAAAAAAAACACGATAAATTATTAAAATATCAAAGGATCTCATAACAATAAACCATGTGGATCGTCTCATTGGCAAGGATGTAGTATTATATATATAAATCAAGCCTGGAGGCTAACGATGTTCTTTCTTATCCTTTAGACTTCCTGGTTTACTTCACCTGCCAATAATCCTTAACTGGAACGGTCACGTGAACGGCGATAGGAGGGATCCTGTGTTTACGTATCATCCGTGTAAAAACGAACTTATGGTTATAACGGTATAATGTGGTGGCTGGTGTGAGATCTCCTGCATGACCGGTGGTGTGTGGTTATACAGACCAGGACCTTGTTAGACGTATATAAGGGTAACACTACCCTTGAAATAATAATATTTGTAGCAGCTGTTGGATACACCCGTACAGAAAGAAGGTCTTATAAAGGGGGATCGTATAACGTCATTCCTCCATCGATTCAGATATGATTGCCGTAAGCCGATTTAAATGATATTTTTAATTGTAATTTACTTTAAATTGTAATTAATCGACATCGATAATCCTTCCGTTAAATATTTTGGTCCGTTAATATCTTGCAATTTTTTCAGTACTTGGCGTTAATTCGGTGCCAAGTATTGAAGATTTAATTGCAATTAGTTAAATCGATTATTTTTTAATTGTAATTTATATAAATGTAATTAAGTCCATTTCATAATTATCTTTTGTTGGTAATTTTTCAATACTTGGCATCATTCATTTTTATACAATTTATTGTAACGTTTAGGATATAATTTTCTTCTAAAACAATTTAAATAATTTAAAATACAAATTTTAAGCTGTAATTTACTTTAAATTTAATTATAATTAATTAATTTATAACAAATCCATTTAAATTTCCTTACTAAAAATTCCAATTTAATTTTTTTTAACTTGAAAAACATTACA